GGCAGTTTACACAGTAGACGTGCTGAGGGTCGGTGAGCGCCCACCTCCGCGCGCGCCCACCTCCGCGCGCGCCCACCTCCGCGCGCGCCCACCTCCGCGCGCGCCCACCTCCGCGCAGACTGTCTGACATCATTTGCTGCCTCCGTGGGAGCGAGTGCTAACCCCACCACTGTGGCTGGAGGCTGGCAGATCGTGGGACAGAGGGGAAACTGCACTCCTTGAGCTGTGCAGGCACTTTGCTGGTTTGTAGCCTTCACACGCCCTCCCTGGGGCAGTCAGCAGCTCTCTGGAGGGCTGCCAGTTGTGTTTTATTGCTTAATTATTTTACCTGCCTCCCATTAATCCCTCAGGTCCAGTCTGGGCTTGCCACAGCTCTGGTTCAGTGTGCAGTTTGCAACAGCCTGAGGTTGTCTCTCCTCAGTAGAGAGAAATTCTTCTCTAATACTGCTGGAGCTTGTAAAAGCTTCTAATGTTGGGTGGTGGAGCCACAAGGCTTATTCTTACTAACTGGCAGCTTCACTTGGGTGTGGTGACGGGCTTTCAGGGCCTCTCACAGAGTGTCATGAAGAGCCGTCTGGGTTCTGTGTATACAGCCACAAGAAACGAACTGGGACCCAGAGACGTGCCTACACTGCTGTGTTCATGTGGGTTATTCACAAAAGTAAGATGTGGGAATGATCAGAGCATCCGCCCACAGATAACGGACAAAGGAGATGTAGCTTTGGACCATCAGTTGGCATAATGGCTGTGCCGCTGGACTCGCATGTAGTCGACCGTGGTTCGAGTCCCAGATCTGGTGGCTTAAACTCATGCACCATGCGTGCCCAAAATCCCGAGAGGAGAATGGAGAAGGAATTGTGGCATGGCCATCCCCCTGGGGGATGATTTCTCGCTTTCCGTCTTTCTTTCTGGCGAGCGTACATGCCCTATAGCAGAAGCCTCTCCAAAACAAACAAACAAACAAGAAGATGTGGTAGCAAAAGAGAGGATGCGGTGGTTCTACGCAGCACACTTCTATTCAGTCTTAAAAAGAAAACCCTGTCACTTGGACAACATAGATGAGCCAGAAGAACATGTTTAGTGAAACAAGGGACAGGAAGATTAAGACCACATGATCTTACTTGCGTGTTGTTAAATTAAACTATTTTGGCCTAAGACAGCTGTTGTACTCCCACACTTTGATTCGTATGGGTAGGCCAAAATCATACATGTTAGGCTGTTGTTCTGAGTTGCTAAGTTACAGCCAATCAAGGCGGCTGGGCTTCATCAATCACAGGCATCCAGCCTTTTAAACAGTGTTAATGCAGACAGACTTCAGAACGTAACCAATGGTCTCTCCATCCCATCCCAACACTTTCTGTTTACTGCAAACCTCACTCTCCTGATCTGCTGACTTAAAAGGCCGAGTTGACCACAAGGCTGGCCAGAGTTGTTTGAAAGTCCGGAGACAACTGTTCGATTTAAATCCTGTTAAGATTTACTCTATTAAAACTATTAAATTGGCAGGACCAGCAGTTGGCATAGTTGCTATGTTGCTGGACTCCCATGTAGTCGACTGTGGCTCGAGTCCCAGACCTGGGGACTTAAACTCATGCCAGGAGTGTGTGTGTGCGTGCCCAAGATCCTGACAGGAGAATGGAGGAGAAGGGATTGCAGCATGACCATCCACCCTGGGGGGTGATTTCTTGCTTTCTGTCTCTCTCTCTGTCTTCCTGGTGAGTGCATACGCCCTATAGAAAAAACCTCTCAAAAAAAAAAAATCTCTATTAAAGTGGCTGGTTTATTTTTCTTTTAACAGTGTGAAATGTAACGAGAGTTGGACTAAGAAGCAGAGAGGAGAATGGTGGTCAGCAGGGTTTGGCCCCTGGTTCTGGGCGTTGCACGTGCAGCATGGCGACTGGTTTGTAATACTGCAGTGTTCACCTGGAGTCTGCCAAGAGCAGGTGCTGAGCACCTGATTGCACGCCCACACGAGGGGACTGGTCAGGAGATGGGTTATCGATGTATACAGTCAGCACGGTGTGAGCCTTGGACTTACACAGCTTTTACTTGTCAGTTACACCTCGATAAAGATGGAAGAAAAGAAAGAGCCATCTCCCTGCTTTGTAGGTTACTTTAACTGGTCCTCCTTTACCTCAGTCACCTGAACTTGGGGCTGAGATGAGGACAGGGGTGTGGAGGGAGGGAAGTCAGGAGGAAGCCTCCATCCAGCATTGCCGGTGTCTACCGGAGATGACCCATCACAACACAGTTATCACCAGAAATGCGGAGAGACCTGCCACCAGCCAGCAGGTGAAATGGAGCTAGCTCAGCAGCCGGGGACCCATGGTGGAAGATTTTCTCTAAGCCCGTGCTATTCTGCAACTGTCTCATTCCACCTTTTGTTCAGTGCACCCGAAAGCAAGCATGCACACACACTCATGCACATGAGCACACACACATAC